AGAGTGTGACGCTGTCTCAGAGTACCTTGAAAGAATAAAGAGCCAGTTTACTGGCTCTTCAAAGACTTATGCTACACAGCTGATCAAGCAGCTTGTGACAGAAAGGTACCATGGAGGTGGTGTTAGAGACCACATACTTAGAATGAGCAACATGGCTTCCAAGTTGAAGCCAATGGATTTGGGCATAACAGATGACTTTCTGGTCCATCTGGTTATGGCCTCATTGCCAAAGCAATTTGACAATTTTATTGTCAACTACAACATAAGTCCAGAGAAATGGAACTTTGAGAAGCTCATTGCCAATTGTGTGCAAGAGGAGGAGAGAATCAAAGAGTCAAATGGTTGTTCAATTAACTATGTTAAAGATAACAAAAAAAAGAACCACAAGTCGTCTCCCACCTCAAAAGCTAAACAGTCTCAGCATCTGCCTCAGCAACAACAGTTCGCTGTTGAGAAAGATCAGTGTCTCCACTGCAAGAAGACAGGACATTACAAGAAAGACTGTCCTGACTTCTTGAAAATGATCATGGCAAGGAAAGGTGAGAACATTATTACATTTGTAAATGAATCTCATTATATTGGTTACTCTAGATACACATGGTGGATTGATTCTGGAGCAACTATTCATGCTTGTAATTGTTTAAAGGCATTCCGTTCAACGAGGACTACGCAAAGAAGAGAAAGCTCCATTAGAGTTGCCAATGGAGTTGAAGAAAAAGTTGAAGCTGTTGGAGATCTTCCTCTAGAGCTCGCGAATGGCTTCACACTTTTACTTCGAGATGTCTTTTATGTTCCTTCTTAGCAAAGAAACTTAATAAGTGTATCAAAGTTGGATTTTGATGGATATGATTGCCACTTTGGAAGTGGCAAATGTGAACTATGGTATAATAATGCATGTATTGGTCTTGTTGTGTTGCGAGACGAGCTTTATTTGTTATCTCTTTCTGAGAATGTGAATGTTGTGTCCTCGTTGACAAAAGAAAACAAGAAAAGAAAGCGAACTCCCGATGTCTCATCGAAATTATGGCACTGTCGTTTGGGCCATATTTCGAGGGGGAGAATTGAGAGACTAGTTAAGAATGAAATTCTTCCTCCATTGGAGTTCTCAGACTTAGAACAATGCATAGAATGCATTAAAGGAAAATTTGTAAAGAGCATCAAAAAGGGTGCAAAACGAAGCACAGGAATTTTAGAGATCATTCATACAGATATTTGTGGTTCATTTCCTGTGAAAAGTGTGGATGGCTATGACTCGTTCATAACATTCACAGATCATTACTTCCGCTATGGTTATATTTATCCAATTAAAGAGCGATCAGAAGCATTGGATAAATTTAAGATATTCAAAGCTGAAGTTGAAAATCAACATGATATAAAGATTAAAGTAGTAAGATCTAACCGTGGGGGGGAGTACTATGGTCGACATACACCTTATGGGCAAGTCCATGGACCTTTTGCAAGGTTCTTGCTAGAGAATGGAATAGTAGCCCAGTATTCAACACCAGGCGAACCTCAACAGAATGGGGTAGCTGAAAGGCGCAACCGTACCCTTATGGATATGGTGCGCAGCATGATGAGCTACTCCACACTACCACTGGGTTTATGGATGGAGGCGTTAAAAACCGCCATTCATATTCTCAATAGAGTTCCAAGCAAATCGATGCCCAAAACACCGTATGAGCTATGGACAGGAAGAGTACCCTCCCTAGCTCACCTCCGTGTGTGGGGGAGTCCTGCAGAGGCCAAAGTATTTAACCCAAATATTGGGAAGTTGGATCCCAAAACAGTCAGCTGCCATTTTATTGGCTATCCTGAAAGATCAAAAGGCTATCGTTTCTACTGTCCAAACAGTTATACAAAGTTTGTAGAAACGAGACATGCCGTCTTCTTGGAAGACGAAATGATTAGGGGGAGCTCGGTAGTTCGAGAAATTGATCTTGAGGAGAGGCGGGTGTCTGTACCCGCTCCGTCGACTCAGGAACCTTTCTTCTCTCTACCTGCTGATGTTGTGCCTGCAATACCTGTCATTGATGTACCAGCACCTGTTGTTACCTCTCCTGTGGCAACAATGAATGAAAATGAGGAACCTGTTATACAGGATTCAACAGAAATGGTTGCCACACCAGAGGAGGAGCTGCAACAGCCTCAAATAGATAATGTGCCAGTACAGGAGACTCAACAAGAGCCTCAGGTACAGGATGTGCCAAATGTGCAGGCCCCTAGAAGGTCTGAAAGAGTCAAAAGATCGGCTATCCGTGATGACTATAAAGTTTATAATATAGAAGAGTTGCATATGGAGGATGATCCCACCTCATATGAAGAGGCCATGAGAAGCGCTCGCTCATCTGAATGGTTGGAAGCCATGAAAGATGAAATGAAATCAATGAAACTAAACAATGTTTGGGATTTAGAAGAAATTCCTAAAGGAGCCAAAACAGTAGGCTGTAAATGGGTCTACAAAACCAAATATGACTCCAGAGGGAATATAGAAAAGTTTAAAGCGCGACTTGTGGCAAAAGGCTTCACGCAACGAGAAGGGATTGATTACAATGAGACATTTTCTCCAGTCTCTTGTAAAGATTCCTTCAGGATTATAATGGCACTAGTGGCACATTATGATTTGGAATTACATCAGATGGATGTAAAAACGGCATTTCTAAATGGAGATTTGAAGGAAAAAGTATACATGGCGCAACCGAAAGGTTTTGTCATGAAAAGAAACGAAAATATGGGATGCCGTCTAAAGAGATCCATTTATAGATTAAAGCAAGCTTCGAGACAGTGGTACTTGAAGTTTGATGGGACAATAAAGAAATTTGGGTTTCAAGAGAATGTCGAGGACAACTGTATTTATTCAAAGTTTAAGAATGGGAGATTTATTTTCCTAACTCTGTATGTGGATGACATTCTACTGGCTAGTAGTGATGTCAGTCTACTGCAGAAACAAAGAATTTAAATTCTTGTCCTCAAACTTTGACATGAAAGACCTCGGTGAGGCTTCATATGTTTTGGGCATAGAAATTCACCGAGATAGAACAAAGTATGCATTGGGACTTTCTCAAAAGACATATATAGAAAAGGTGTTGAAGAAATTCAACATGTACAGATGCAGTGCTACACCTGCTCCTATAGTGAAAGGCGAAAAGTATGGGGCATCGCAATGTCCTAGAAATCAGTATGAGCTCAATGAAATGAAAACAAAGCCATATGCGTCAGCTGTAGGAAGCCTACAGTACGCGCAAGTGTGCACATGACCTAACTTGGCATTTGTTACCAGGTTACTTGGCAGATTTCAAAGTAATCCAGGCCCAGAGCACTGAAAATTGGTAAAGAAAGTCTTGTGTGCCTCATGCTGTCTTACAGAAGATCAGAATCGCTCCAGATAGTGGGGTATTCAGATTCTGATTTTGCAAAAGATAATACAAAGTCAACATCGTGATATATGTTCACCCTGGCAGGAGGAGCTATTTCATGGAAAAGCTCAAAACAGACTATCATTGCAGGGTCTACTATGTATGCCGAGTTTATAGCATGCTATGAGGCAACGGGGCAGGTGAACTGGCTAAAGAAGTTCATACCTGGTTTAAAGGTGGTTGACAGTATTGAGAAACCACTAAAGTTATACTGCGACAACGAACCCGCAGTAATGTACGCTCACAACAATCAGTCAAGTGGTGCTGCCAAACACATTGACATAAAGTACTATGTTGTGAAGGACAAAGTCCGGGATCAAATAATCAGTCTCGAGCACATTAGAATAGAAAGGATGCTCGCGGATCCGCTCACGAAAGGCCTACCACCCAACATGTTCAAGGAACATGTAGCCGGCATAGGTTTAAGGGAAGCCTTATGAATCCTGGACTATAGGGCCCAAAAGTAAAGTATCTGTTTCTGAATAGAGATGTGTATAGTGGCTGTCGAATCCATCGGTGATTGACCGTGACGATGAAACATGCTCTATTTACAAATCTGTGATGGAATAGAAAAAGCTAAAAGAAATAGTGAGATCAAGGAGGGGAATGTTAAATTGATCTCTCACCCGTCGGACCCAACGGCACAATGGACCTTGACCGCGCCCTGATCAGGGGCGCCCAGCCCAATGGCTGGTGAGCCCCCGTCACACTGCGCCATATAAAAGAGGGGTGGAGGCCGGCACGGCACAAGGTACGAGGTTCGCTGCCGCCGCCAACTCCACCCCACAAACCCTAATCCGATCGAGAGGGGGCGCAGCCAGTGACGAGAAACGCCACCGCCGCGCCACGCCTCATCATCGGGACATCTACGACCGTCACTGCCGCAACCGTCATCGCCGTCGACCTCACCGGTGCCGCATCCACGACAACCGAGCGCCAACGACGACGATGGCCGGCACTTCTTCATCCTCCAACACCTCAACCGGTCGGTATCTAAACCCCTCTCCCTTTCATCTATTGTTCAAACATCAACCCAAATAGAACCACCCGACCTAGATTTAACCTAGGTGATCCTAGTGCAAAGTCTAACACAGTCTACTGACCACGATCATCCCTAAGCTCTACACGCTCATCAGTGGGCAGTACAATCTGGAGGAGACCATCCGGCAAGACATCCGATCCATCAAGAACGAGCTGGACATGATGTTGAGCGCCATCCAAGATTACAGCAGCTTGCTGATGACAACGCGAAGCGGAGATGGCCGTCATCATCATCAGCTGGGAGCAGGAGCTGTGCAGGCGACATGGATCGAGAAAGTGCGCACCCTGGCTCATCAGATGGAGGACTGCATCGACAGCTACATCTACGATCAGATGGCTCCTCATGGCTCCCGGAGGCAAGGCCCTGCTCGGTTTGCATCCGAGGTCAGGGAGCTCAGGAGCAGATCAGCTGAACTATCCCAGCTGAACCAGCAGTACGGAGCAGCTGTTCTCAGCCGGGAGTAAATCATCATCGGTGACGGTGGTGGTGGTAGTACTCTATCCTCTGCCGCACCGTTGTCGACTTCTCCAGATGAGCTCGTTGGCATGGAGGCTCGCCGGAGGGAGCTCCTGGAGCTGGTAAACGGCGAGGGGCAGCCGGAGCAGCAGCGCAAGGTGATCTCCATCGTCAGCTTCGGTGGGCTAGGGAAGACTGTCCTTGCCAATCAAGTGTATTGCGACACTGACGAGCTGAATTTCAGTCCTCGGGCATGGGTTAGCGCGGCAGAGAAGACAGCTGGGGAGGTTCTCATGGAGATATTGCAGAGATTTGAGGTGCGAGTAAGGGACATGCCTTATTTCGACCAACTCAGCAAGCGTCTCAGGGAACACCTTCGCAACAAAAGGTAAGGCTAATTAATCGGTTTTGCATTTTTTTTTCGTTGGTCGTTTCGTCATTCACCTAAAACTTGCATAGAGTGTAGACTAAACCTTTTTATAAGGTGTATGATATATAAAAACTGCAATTTTTTATACATAACAACTGCAACTTCTTGTTTGCTTTATTTTTTTTATTTTTCTAGATTAATCTAGAATAGTTTTATGCTTATATAGTGAGGATAAACAACAAAGTGTATTCTCTTTACAGTTTAGTTTAGAACATTTTTTTTCACAATAGCGACAAAAAAAATATGCATGAGTTATTGGATATTGATTTGGTGTTAAAGAAAAAAAGAGCTATCGGTAGACAAGGAAAAAATAAATCAGTCACTTCACAAATAAACAGTCCCAATTACTATACACTGCTTCTAGAACAAATAGTGCTCGGGCACTTTATTTACATTAGGCATATGCTCTGTATGAATGTGCACACAATTTTTTTTTTCTAGGAGTGAAGTTTAGCCTGTTAATCTATAGACTAGTTCAAATAAGTTTGGATTGAACTTGAAACTATCGATGTCTTTCATTTGCCTTTTTTAGTGCATCATATTGTGAGATGTTCAGTGCAAGAGTCAACAGGTGGGTTTAGGGATGGGGTTAGCTCAGTTTGTCAGAATCTTGTTCTAAAATTCCCAAGTTAAGTTCCAGGATTATATTTAATCAGCAAAGAATGTGATACAAACTAATCAGTTCTACCTAATCTTTTTGTATTTGAGTGTTACCTAAATTCAGAAGTTGTTGTTAGTGCTAAAGCTAAACTCATAGATCAATTTTTCCCCCTCTATGATTGGGAAATTATTCTCGCAGGTATCTCATCGTAATTGATGATATAAGGGTAGAACAGTGGTGTAATATGGAGCCTGCTTTCCCTGCCGATCATGGTATCAGCAGCAGAATAGTGGTGACCACGAGTATTCAATCAATTGCCAATGCATGCAGCATCCCAAAAGGCTACATCTACAAAATGGAAAAACTAGATGCTGAATGCTCCAAAAACCTGTTCTTCAGAAGCGCCTCTATCGAGGAATGCTCACCTGACATAGAGAGAGGTTCAGAATCACTTCGGAAGAAATGTGATGGCCTCCCACTGGCTCTGATCTGCGTAGGCCAGTTCTTGCGCACAGAAGGAGCTCTAACAGGGCATGCAATTACATCTGCAGCAAACTACTCCTTCCGTCCAAAAAAAAAAAAAAAAAAACAAACCCTGGGTTTTCATGTCCAACTTTGACTATCCGTTTTATATGAAATTTTTTTATAATTCGTATTTTCATTGTTGTTAGATGATAAAATATGATTAATATTTTATGCGTGACTTGTCTTTTTATTTTTTTTCATAATTTTTTCAAATAAGACGGACGGTCAAACGTTTGGCACGGAAACCAGGGTTTGTCTTTTTTTGGGACGGAGGGAGTAGGTTACTATCTGGAGAACGACAACAATGCATTAGCAAGAATGCAAGGGTTGCTTGCCAGGAGCTATGCCTGCCTGCCATGCCATGATGCCAAGGCCTGCTTGTTGTACCTAGGCATGTTTCCCAGCAACTACCCGATTCGGAGGAGAAGATTGTTGATGCGATGGCTGGCTGAAGGGCTTGTCAGAAAACGGCCTCACCCTCGGCTTGGCGACGCGGCGGTCAACAACTTCAGGACGTTCATGGACCGGAACATCGTTCATCCTGTCGGTGTGAGCACCAACGACGAGGTGAAGACATGCCAGCTGCCCGGGATGATGCTCGAGTTCATCTTGCACAGGTCCATATCGGAGGGTTTCATCACACTGGTTTCTGATGAGAATGTGATGCCCAGGTATGCCCCTCGTCGTCTCGCTGTCCAACTTAGCACTGCTGCTGTGAAGGACAGGCTAGGACCAAGAAGTGATCTCTCTTTTGTCCGGTCTCTCATGGTCTCCGGCATAGCATCCCAATGTGTTCTGGATTTCAGCAGGTACAAACTGCTCAAAGTCTTGGATCTGGAACAATGTGACGGATTGACGGATCAACATCTCGAAGGCGTATCCAATTTGTTGTTGCTCAAGTATCTTAGCCTCGGGGGAGAAGTTACCATGCTCCCCAAGAAGATTGAAACACTAAGTTTCTTGGAGACACTTGATGTTAGGAGAGCCAAGGTTGATGTGATGGTGTTCCCGGTCGAAGCAATAGTGCTTCCCAAATTAATTCACCTCTTTGGGAAGTTTAAACTTTTCGGTAAGGTATCGGATAAAATACTTAAGTTTTTCGATGCGGGAAAAAGTAAACTACAAACTTTAGCCGGATTTGTCACAGACAGTAACCAAGGTTTTCTGCAACTAATTGGTCATATGAAGAACCTGAAAAAAATTAAGATATGGTGCCGGTCTATACCAGATGGAAACAACTTTCATTTGATTTCAAATGCCATTCAAAACTAGATTGAAGACGGCGATGACTTGAACGATGCCCGTTCTCTGTCTGTCCATTTCAACGAATGCTCTGAAGACATCATGAATTTTTCCCTGCAAGGAGCCTGCAATCTTTCCACGCTGAAGCTCCAAGGTGACCTGCACCAAATACCTCCATTTGTTCCCTCATTGGTAGCTCTCACAGAGCTATCTCTGACATCGACTACTCTTCGGCAGGAACTCTTAACTAGCTTGACTGAATTGAGATGTCTAGTTTATCTCAAACTTGTCGCGCAAAATCTCGAGGGTTTTGTCATAAAAGTTGGGGCATTCCAAAGCCTTCAACGACTATGCATGGTGGTTCAGAATCCATCATTCCTTGAAATCCAGGATGGAGCTCTGCCACAGCTTGTGTCTCTCCAGCTGATGTATGAAAATTTGGCAAACCTTCCTTTAATCAACATTGGGGGCATCAAGCGTCTTAGGGAAGTGGTGCTTGATTCTGCGGTAAATGGAAGATCACGGAAAAACTGGGCGAAGAAGCACGCAAATAGACCCAGAATTTTGTTCATCGAAAGGACGAGAAGGGCCAGATCAGAACATTCTGTTGCACAGGCAGAGAAACCTTCTACACTTCATCGGAATTGGCTACAAAATGGCATACGGAATCTATTTGTAAGAAATTAACAGGTTTCGAGATTTCCAAGATCTCTGCCATGCGTGAAGAAATGGAAAATGAAAAATTAGACAGCTTCCAAGATTTTCTTTTTTTTTTGTTTGGGGGGGGGGGTGGCTTCAAACAAAGTACTATTCAGCACAGCAACTAGCACGGATTGTGAAGATTGAGGCTTCATTTTGGTTCCTGCCATCTGACAGTTATGCTTTAAGATCTTCGTTTACGATTTCATAATATGTTGATTGCTGCTTGTAATATTGAAGTCACATTATTGTCGGATGACTCGCTTTTCGATGTTCTATCTACTACTCGTTTCTTTTTGTTAGTTCAAAATTCAACTCCATGCATTTAAAAATAGAGGTAGTAGTATTTTGGTGAACATAATGGTCTTTTATTCCAACTCGCAGAAAACTCTTATGATATTGTATTCTATTTTCCGACTATTCTTGTAATTTAAGAAGCGCTCGTCTCATCAACACTAGGATAAACATGCGGGAATTGAGGGAATTGCAGCTGTTTCTATGCTATTGTCTCATCAACACTGGGATAAACTCGCTGGAGATGAGCTGGTAACGAAGTGCAACCTCACAAATATATTCCATAAGCTAACAAAGTATTTATTTTTCCTTTTTGACAAAACAGATCATCCGACTGAGATAGCTGTTCAACAAAAGAGAAGAATTGCATGATTTACCAAACAAGCTATGAATCCTTTATATGTTGAGGTAAGGATGTTTTGGCCATTTTTTCGATATTTTTCAATTCCATTAATGAGGTTATATCCACAAAAGAAGAACTAATATTGCTTGCATTATATTGATTTGAATCTCGTGTAAATACTTGAGCTTAATAATTATGCAAATAAGAGAAGTAGCTCACCTAACTGGGGTCCAAGGAGAAAAGACCCTCTCTATTGAACACAAAGGAAAAGAGATTCTAACGTGCAAAGTATGATGGGTGGTTCAAATAACATCCGGGATGATTATGAAGTGATGTTGTCACTTGACACTGTACCAGCTGATGTTTTTATGGTGTGGTGAAGGCTAGCCGCACAGTAGCCCACATGTTAAGTTTCTATTCCTAACCTTAGCGTATTCTCATCTCTCAGTCGCCACCAACCCAAACTAAGATTGAGTTTTTTTTCTATCAACTCCAAACCGCAACTTTCCCGTTTTCCATTAGCACGCTTTACAAACCGCTAAATGTATAGAAAAAAATATGTATAAAAGTTTCTTTTAAAAAATCAAATAAATTTTCTTTTTCAGGGAAAATAAATCTATTTTTAAAGTTTATAATAATTAATACTCGATTAATCATGTGCTAATAGCTTATCAGGTTTCACGTGCTGCTGAATACCTATCACTAACTGTTGAAAAGAATGCACCTAACCGGAACATGTGACTATCACAAGTCACAACCATCACGTTTTGTATCATAGGCACGTTTTACCTGTCATGGTGAAAACAAACCTATCTAAAACTACCTTCCAAGAGGTTGTCTCTTAGGTAGACCCAGATAATACTTACTTTTAGAGGGTTAAGTAGAATTTTTTTAGGTATTACTAATAAAACAAAAGCTAGCTTAACATGTACTCTCCCAAAGCCTTTCTTTAGCTTTCTTTAAAGCTAATTTATGGCGCCCCTTGATTTAGACCATTAATTAAAGTCATCAAATAGGAATATATCAGTTAAGCTAGTGATAGGAAAATGACGTGGTAGAGAACCTAGCTAAACACAGTTACACAAGCTAGTACAAAATAGCGCAATTTGCCCTTATCCAATGCATAATTTCATCTAGTATTTCTGTCTTAGTGTATATGTCACTAGACTGAAATAATTGAAAGCTTATGCATACGGTACATACAAGAGAGAATACCTTTTATCTATAAGCAATAATGCATTTCAATCATAATTGCTCTAATACGCTAATTAAGCTGATGCATTGAAAACCATATGTGCCAAACTAATCATCACAATTCAAGCCACAATCAAAGCAAAACAAAATTATACATTTGGTCACCACATGTACTACTCTGAAACAATGCCAGCTGGCTGAAGAGCACCTGATCATGTACTTGGGTCTCTGATGCTCATGACAAACACAGTACTTCCTTCCACGTATCTGCTTTAATTTAAACATGTAGTTCCAAGGGTTCAATTATTTGCATGGACACGTTGTAGGATAGGTTCACAAATACTCTGTTATAGTATAAACAAAACCGTACATTGAATTTAATTAATGTAGTACTATGTGTATCACCTGCCACTGCACTATACACATATATAAAATAATTGTGAAAAAAAGGAAATTGGTTACAAGTGCTGTGTTATCTTGGGTTAATTAGAGACTTCAGACAGAGGTGCTGGGTGGTGTTCTACGCAATTGTCTCTTTTTCGGCTTAATTGTTGTGTCCATTTGTTGCCGTCACTATGGAATATTTCATCAGTCCATTTTACTAGCGACCATAGCTGGAAATTTACTACACCATGTGGGCGATTAATTGTCGGAAATAAAATTTGACTTGAGTAATATTATTTACCGCTACTATAATATATGCCAGGAATAACATTCGATATTGTACTAGCATATGTTCAAAGCTACATTTAGCTGTCTAAAATTTATGTCATCAGACCCTTTTGTTGATGAAAATATTTTATACATCAAAGTTGCAGCTCCATCACCAACACTATGAAAGGAAAAAAGAAAGAGTCAAGTACTCCCGTCGTCTATAAATATAAAAGATTTTGAGGCTTAAGATTTATCCATAAATATAAGAGATTTGGAAGTGTTACTTGTTTTATTAATCAACTGCTGCCTCCATTACATAATAATTGTATTTCTAGAGAATCAGAGACAAATTAGCAATAAACACAATTTACTATAATAACCGATGATCACACTGCATGCACATATTTCATACCATACAAATACTTGATTGAAAGGAAGGATGAGACAATAAGCCCACTTAATTACTATTTTTAAACGTGATTAAACGGAAGGTTAGGTCCCACCTCAACAGAAATTTAAATGGTAGAAATATAATTATTTTGGACATAGGTAGTACCATTTAATTTTCTTTCTATCTTACCTTTTAATGAGAAATATTATATATTTTTATATTTTTTCGTAATCTCCCACAAAGAAACCTGACTCCTTATATCAGTTAACGGAGAGAGTACAGAAGAGTGGAGTTGATCATATCAAAAGAAAAAAAAACTCTATTTTCGTGCTTAGCTTGTACTAGTAGCAATATTTGATGATATATGATAGGCACTGGGAAATAAAACAGTGCATTTTTTTTGCATTATTTGAGCCAGTATTTCTCAATATAAAACAGATACTATTAGTATTTGTTTGGCGTTTGGTCAGGTCAAAATCTTGGCTTCTCTTACAACCTTTGTTCTGAAATACAAGTAGTTGGAAAGTCGAACAAATAAGTAAAATTAAATAGAGAGATGTTGTAATTGATTGAAAAGTGAAGGCATGTAAAAAAGTGAATGGTGAAGTGTTATGATTGGTTTGGAAAAGAATGTTGGTAGAGAATTTGTTATATTTTAGAATAAATTTTAAATGATAGAAGTTGTTGTGTTTTGGGATAGAGTGAGTAGTAGATTTCTTGCTTCGGAAAACAACATAATGTTTTTTCTTTACCTACGGTTTGAAGGATGAAGAAATATCCATCATCAAGAGTTGGAATAATGATAACATTCTTAATTGTGTCAATTAATAAAGCAAACCTTCATTAGTACCCTTACCTTACCTGTGAGCTGTCCACCACTAGTTCATCACTACGCAATCAGCCAGTCCACCAGCAACAAAAGCACTACTGCACAACCCCTATATGGCCATATATAGTACTGCTATGACCTATGATCACGCACACAAAAGAAGTGAGCAAGAACAAGTTATAAACCCTTTTAAACTAAAAGCTATAAACATTACTTGCTCCAATTTATGACGCATCAACTATATGAAATATAAAATTTACAAGGATTTCCCTTCAAAAGAAAAGCTGTAAGATTTGATATTGTTCTAAATTTTGATCAACTATATGAATATTATAGAGTAAATTGTGCTAAACCTCAGGTTTTATTATCCAAGTTATGGAAAATCAAAACTCACATAACATATATGTTTTCTTTAGTTTTAGACAATAACATATATGTTTTCAGTAATTAAGGAAACACTCTAAATGGAGGGCCATGACAACCTACCAGCGACTCCATGTGTAAGATAGATAAGATTTGCTTAAGATGAGGTTTCATGAAATAATAATACCAGAAAGTGTGTGGTTATGTGACTTGTGCTAAACCTTATATATGGTTTTATGTATGAAATTTTGCTCAAAATAAAACATTGATGCATTTAAAATGTACCGCCATAATATCATAGATATACGGGTATTTCATAAATGAAACTAACAGTTAAAATTATAGTTCAAAGAATTAATTATATCTAAAATGGAATGAGTATTTTATGAAGAGTAAATTTTATATAAATACTTTAACCAATTTTCGTCAAACTAGAAATACTTTAATCAAATTATCATAAAACTACATACGTAGAAATAAATTTCTCTTAGAAACTGAGGCTGGCTTAGTTGTTTGACGGTGTAGGTGCACGCCTAGACCACCTAAGTTTATCCTCATCGAGAGGAATTTAGTTGTTTGTTTTCTTCTTAAAACAAAGTCAATCTAGTTCCTTCTAGGTTGATCTTATTTTCTTTTAAAAAAAGTAAAATTATCGTGAAACTACATATTAAAATAAAGTATCACAAAATTACAGATTTATTAACAAAATTCATCCTAAAATTACAAGTTTAGCACCAATATAATTACAAAACTATAACACTTACATCTGAAAGATAATATTAGTGCTAATGATTTAATCTCTAAATCCGTAGTTTTATGACATCATCAATATTAAATATGTAGTTTTGTCATCATTTGATTGGTGAAATTTAATGAACTAAGGAATAGAAAATGTCTTTTTCTGCCCTTACTGAACGTAT